TTGCTGCATGCCTGCATCAACCTGCATGGCCTGAACGGACCGATCGAGGCGTGCCTGAACAGCGATGGCAACCTGCTCTTCCAAATTGGGGACACTCGGGGCCGGGGGGTGTGCGGCTGCAGCTGTGACTCCCCTAGCTTGGAGCCACGGATCTCCTTTGAGCCAAGGGTCCTCCCCTACGGGAGCTGGCGCGCCTTTCATGACCTGCATGGTGCGTGAATGGGCAACGACTGGCACTGCAGTTGGCTCTGCAATAGGCTTGGTGGGCACCTGGGTGATAACAACTGGCCCATGAGCCAAATGCGCGGTGGCTGACGGTGGCTCACTACTGGCCTGGACCTTCCACATCACACCTGAGCGATCAGGAGAAACACTGCCGGCCTGAAGAGGCCGAGCGCACCACTTCCACTCATCGAGCCATTTCTGCAACGACTCTCGCTGGGTCCCAAAGGGGAGCGGACCGACCTCGTACACATGCTTTACTGAGCCCCCCATGAACGGAACACCCGGGCGAACAGCGGCATGGATGGCGGCAGCATCGGCAGCTCTGGTCCTCACGCCGTAGCGATCGCCATTTCGGGCGAGGCCAACAGCCATAATGTGGGACTGCTTAACGACAGTGGCTTCATGCAGGGTGGCTTTGGGCAACCAAACAACAGAAAAGGCTGGGCATGGCACCTTGCCATCCTCGGACCGAGGCTCGGTGAAAATGCCGCCATGGCCAGCTTGCCGCAGCAAGGGGTTAACCAGCTCCTCAGGAACACGCACGTTGCAGCTAAACTGCACAGCCTGGGTCGGCTCAGCCATGCGATTGCGGGCGTCCAGGAACTGGCGACGCCACAGATCCAGAATGGACGCTTGCGTAGGCACCTTATCTGCATTGTGCCAGCATGGGCACTGACAATCCGCCTGACGGCACAACCTAAGCAACGGCAGCTGCTCAGTCACGTACTTGACCGGGCGAATGGCAATGCCCTCCCACGGCGCAACAACCTGATCACGGAAAACCAAAACCTTGAGGACCACCGATTTGGCAACCTCAACAGACAGCGGCTGCTCCGGGCGGAACACCTGGCATTTGCGCTCGCCCAACTGGCACAAAACCCCAGTGAGCAGGATGGGATCCCCGGTGGACAGGCAGATAGCCGGAAACTGCACTGGCTCCGAAGGGCGCTCGATGGGCACAGTCCCATCGGCGCCATGACCGACCACGATAAGGCCCAAAGCCTGGCTGCTTATGGGCTTGGACGCCCTGACATACGTGGCCGCTTCCTCGGGGGTGGCTAGGACAACGCCTGCAGCACAGGGCCCGATGGCCGGCAAACTGATCTGAGCTAAGGCAATGTCTGGCATCTGCATAAAGGTTCCCTTGGCAATCTGAACCTGGGCCGGCTCAATGTGGATGGGTGCCGGTTTGGACTGGGTCTTTTTGCTACCCTTTTTGGCTGCTTTGGCGGCTTTGCGTCCCACTGGCTTACCTTGCTGGGCTCTGGCCTCAATCTGAGCTTGGAGCTCAGCAGGGTGGATCCACTGAAAGGCAGGCTTGTGCTGGTTTCCAAGGGTCTTCAAGGCTTTCCACTGCGCATTGGATTGGATGGCCGACTGCACTGGCAAGACCCCAAGGACATCAAGCGCCGACCGTGCACGGGCATCAGCAGCACCCTCAGGCACTCCGTGCGCAACAAGCACATCAGTTAGCGCCCGGACAACTTCAGCCGGCGGGTGACCTGCGCCTCCCCAAAGCCACGGCTTAATGACCTGACCTGCGGCCTGGACCTCCTCAAGGAATTGCCGACGTAGAAGGGAGGCAACCCCTGAATCCGGAAGATGGAACACTTGGTCAAATGCACACGCTGCAAGGAACCTAATGGCTGCGGGACCACAGGGCAAATGCTGGGTACACGGGTGCATGCGGATCTTGGTGGGCGCACTGTGGGTAAAGAATGCCGGGATCTGGGAATCCAGCTTATGCAACTTGGGGGCATGCTCGGTGGTCGCATCCTGGGATTCCAAGGTCAACCCTGCCTGAGTAATCCGCCACAAGAGGGGAACCCAATGATCGGAGACCCACAGGGCAGACAGGACAACTGTGCCGACCGGGAGCAAATGGTGATGCCACCACTGCGTGAAAACCGGCACATCATGGTGAACCGCGCTGGTAGGAATAAGCGGGTCCATCACCACCGCATGCTGGCCTACGGCTCCCTGGGCCAACTTGCGCAAATGAAAGAGGACCTCATCGTCTCCCCACAAGTCGCCGAACTGCGCGGCCTGCGCCACTCTGAGACGCGCAGGCATGCAATCACGGCGGGCACGAAAGCACTCCTCCAGGCTGGACAGACACGGAGCAGTTGGGACCGCTGGCAGAGGATGCTGGTGGCCTGGTGGGAAAAACGGATGCACTGGGCACTACACTGGGCACTGCGCTGGGCACTCCACTATGCACTGCACTAGGCACTGAACTGGCGTGGACACTAGGGAACAGCCCGATTGGCGAATGAGGCGCACTGGCTGCATGCGGCACACTGTCGGATTCAGGCACACTCTCGAGGCTATCCGAAGAGGCGGACGCAACGATGGCTTCGCTAATTGTGGTGATGCAAACAACCTCCCCGTGCTGGACCACACGATCCTGAGGACCTTCCACGACCCTGCACACAGCAGGAGGGGTAAGGCCAAGCTGGGCGTGGGCTTCGGCAAATGCAGAAGCGATAGCCCCCGGGAAAAAGGCAACCTGATAGTCGGTCTGCTCCCCCACATGACGCACAGTGCAGACACACGGGCGGGCCTGGGACCCAATGGGGGATGAGACCGGACTGTCAGCACTTCCTAGCACAGCTGGCACGGGTCCTAGGGGGCCCCCCCCGGAACCGGCAATATCGGGGCCACAAGCAGAACCCCATGTATCCACAGCATCGGCACGCAGCACGGCAAGGAGGCGACCTAAAACATCAGCGGGCTCCACAACTTGATCAGCACCTACAGCGACCTGCAACAGGTGCGCGGCCCAGCCAAAGATCCAACCTGCCTGAATGGGAGAGGCCAACTGACCAACTGCGCACAAGGCAAGACGCAGATCATCTCCCCAATCCAACTGAGGTGAAAGCCCACACAGGATAGCTACCTCTGACGGGTGCAGATGGCGAAAGTTGGGAACCTCGGTGCCCTCCACAAGGGTGTACCCTTCAACGCGCACAAGAGGCTCCCAAAGGCCTTTGGACTCGAGGCGATAGGTGGAGAACCCTATGGTCCGACAGCCGCAACGGCAGGCGTAAAGCTGGTTGCCCCAACTGTGGAGTGCCGTCGGAAGCTGGGCACGCATGTTGATCTCGCTCAGCCCTCCATACATCATGAAGTTGCGCAATTCATACGGTGTCAGCCTAAGCTGATCCAGCTCCGCCGGTGGCAGAATCGGGAGCTCATGGAGGACGTCCCGCACCTGCAGCCCTTGCAAGGCCGGCGCCCACCGGGGGATGGGCGTATCGGGCAGATATGGCGGCAAGATGATGCACCACCACCGCTCTCTCTTGGCTGCCCACACTTGGCCCAACTGCAAGGTGGTCTGAATCGCCTTGCAACCAGTGACGGCACAGTATTGCTGAATCGCCCCTTGCACAAAGGGATCGGTCAGGGCCTGGCCAACACACTCAATGATGACCATGTGGATGCCCCACAGCCAGGAAGCACGGAGGACACCCATAAGGCTCCAAGCCCTCGGATCATCACCGGATTGGCCATCACCACCCCTACTGTACGGCTGGCAAGCAACACCTGCGGACACCACGTGGGCAACCACCCCAAGCTGACTGACCTGCTGCACAGTGCGCTCATCGGTGATGTCCCCAACGACCACATGTGATGCGGTGTTGCGCTGCAAGAGCTGCGCCAGGGAGGGCTGCTTCTCAACGTGGGCAACAGTGCGAAACCCAGCAAACCGGGCCCCCTGGGATGTGGCTCCCAAACCTGCACAGCACTCAATCACGGAAGACAGACTATCCACCGTTGGCACAGAATGGGCGAAGACCGAAGAGTCAACAGTGCGGACCAGAAGGAATCCCCCACAAGCAGAACGAGTGAGGAAGCCAAACAAGGTAACCCGGCTTGGCCCCCTAGGGAGGGGGCCAACCACGCGGCACACCTGGTGTGTCAGGGCAGTGGCGCAAACCCAGATGTCACCAGGTCCTTCGGCCAGAACATCCACCACGGTGTGGACGATCTGCCCAGCGCACAGTGGGCCCTGGAAGGGCGGCAGATTGCAGGAGGTGGAACGCACAGGCGAAGCTTCGGACATGGCGAGATACCCTCAGGAAGTCAGCCCGCTCAGCCCGACCCGCTGGAAGGTCCCCTGAGCCCAGGCTGGTTATAACACCCACTTAGGAAACTCGTAACCATGGTAAGTGGGTTAAAACCATGGTTATTACCCACGAACGAGAAATACCATGCCCCTTCAAGTAGCTCTACCAAAAGTTTCGGACAAAAAGGTGCCTGGCGCACATGCAAAGCTCACACTGCGACCAAGACCACTCAGACTTCGATTTCAGGAGCTGATTGCTCTCACGTCGCCTTGGAATCTCTCTAAGTCCTGGAAAGAAGCGGTGACCAAACAGCTGTGTTCAGAAGGCCAGGGCCCAAAGCCAAGTTTTGCAGCCGGAGCTTATGGCTTCATCTTTGGCTCCTTTGGCTTCAATCGAAACTCATTCGCAACGACGGCATGGCTAGTTGGGGACCCTTGCCTCTCGTGGATCTCGTTCCCAAGGAAAGTCGCAAAGCAAACCGAATGTAGAGGGTGTACCTATACATAGTTGTATTTCTACCTGAGGGTATGAAATGTCTGTGTAATTGGGGACCTTTTGATGGGCATCATTGTCCATGGGTGTCTCTTTTTTGAGGGTAATTGCCCCTTCTTCTGCGGTTTGGAAGCAAAACCACAAGGAAACCCTCCATTTTGGGACACGCCAAACATGGGAACTGATGACCGGAGCGGAAGCATTCCCGCACGCCTCGCTCAGCCGCCGCAGATCCGCCGGAGCCGGCCCGGGCGGATTTCGATTTCCCCCGCGGCGCCGGCTCACCGACATCCAGTCCTGTCTGCCCCACCCCCCAAAGCCTTCGAGAACCTCGCTCTGCCCCAAGGAACAGTCGCGTTCAAGCCAAGAGCGAATCTCGGGTTTGGGCGCCTTCCCCCCTTGAGGCCTTGGAGAACTTGGAAGCCCCGGAACCCCAGCTCGCCGTCAACTGGAACAAACCAGGTCTCGGTTCGAATGCTGTGATAGTACTTGCTAGCAAGGCATGCCAAGCCTCGACCGGCATGGCAAACTCAGCCACTCTGACCACCTGCGTGCTGCAGGCATCTCTGATTGGAAGCAAGGCGTCAACAATGCAAATCAGTGATCTGTAGCTGTGTCCAACAATGGAAGGGCTCTGCAGGGAAGCAAATCTTCACCCGAGAGTGCAGGATGCCGGGATGTCGCGCTCTTCAAAACCTCCAGCTGCCTCACACCTGATGCAACCAGCGCCGCCTGTGTTTCGTAGTCCTGGGCCTTGCAAACGCGCCAAAGGAAGACCGGCGCTCCTGGCTTTAGCACATTGTCAGCCTCAGGAACAAGTCAGGTTGCTCCCGAATCGCGAGTCAGCAAGCAAAGCACTGGTCCTTCCCACTTCATCGTTTTTTTTCATCCCGATGAGGTCTTCGCCTCTTTTCACTGTAGACCCGGAGTGCCCTATCCGTATCGCGAGCGCGTGACAGCAAAGCAGAGGCCACGGCCACGACCAATGCCTCAGCTGGACATGTTCTGGCACGAAACCGTGACGAAACATGAAACCGTGACGATATGAGGCATCATGTTGCATGCTATGGTGTTTGTGCCTTTTTGGGGGAGCCAAAAAGAAAACCAACATTTTGCAGCCTTCCTGGAATTGGTGGTTTGGGATTTGAAGCCCTGGTTTTTGTAGCAGGTACATGGGCTTCACCCCTGCATTTCGCCAATCCAACCCACCAAAAAACAGGGAAGCCGCATTTTTTCGGGGAACCACCCAAAACAAAGACCCCCCCTTTCCACGGACTCGGAAAGGCCCATGGCAAGCTGAGGAGCCGGCCCCGGGCTGCAGAAGCCCAAGCCGCTCCAGGCTCGCCAGATCCTCCTGGAGTCCGTTCCGTTCGGGCGATCCGCTTTGGAGTTGGTGGCCCCGGTTCTTGCGGCTTAGGGAAACCAACAGGAAAACCACCGGGCCGATGTTCGGGGTTCTTCTAAAAACACGGACCTGGGTACCAATGCTTCCGGGCATCCTTGCAAATGGATTGGTTGGATCCGCATTGCCGTCCCTTCCTACCAGCGATTCAGCCGAGACGAAACAAGCTGGCGGCGCGTCTGGCTCCTCATAGCGAGAGCCTCGCTGGTCCATGAACACGAAGTCAAAGCCCGCCTCGAGCCATACGTTGTTTGACGTTATAACAATATGTTATATTTTGCTTTATTTTTTATTTAACAATAAAAAAACACTGGGCCCAGGCTCAAGGTCCCTACTTCAAGAATTGTTGGCTTCATAGTGTCCTTCCCGCATCGGCCAGGCACCCGGCATACTTCTCGGCCAAGTAAGGCAAAAGGTCGCGGCTGTGGCCCGTCCAAACCTCCAGGGCAAGGGCAACAGTTCATTGAACCCCGGCACCGTCAAACTCTCGACTTCAACAAGATCCCTTGCATGGCCAGCTGGGTCGCCAACAAAATCCGGGATGCCAAGAAATCGAGGCTTTCTACGGTTCAGTGATGAAGAAATTCAGGGTTGCCAAGATGGCCACGAAGCACGACTCATGGGTCGCGAAGCACAGCTCATGCTTTTCTTGGGGATCATGCAAGCAAACGAGTCTGCACACCGGCCCTTTGGGACCTCACAAGCCCTCAGCAAGTCATACCGCCTGGATGGACTCCGCCAGACCAGCGAAGGCCACGAGGCGCCGAGCAAGCACGGCCTAAATCCAACCCACCGGCGCGCAGTCCATGGGCCCTCCGCATGGCTCAAGCTGATTCTCACGGGTCGGCATGCCCAGCTCACATGCTGGGCGAGAAAAAAAGCAGCGCCGGAGTCTCACTGGGGCGCTGGGCGTGGATGGGATCCATCTCCAGCGACCTTGGAGCGGAGGCATTCGTTTCCCATCAAGCTGCTTTGCAAGCACCCATGGAAGATGCGTAGGTTCATGCTCTGCATGCGTTCGCCCTTATCGCACGCATGGAGGAGGCAACTTAGATCTCGGGAGCGGAAAGCGCGAAGCAATCTGCTGAGTTCTCAGCACGACCTTCATGTCTGGTCTGGCCGCTGCCAAGCGGATGGCAGAATGACCACAGTAGGTCCCAATTTCAAGCCTCGGTCAAATCTTCTGGATCCCCGTTGCGGATAGTGAGACCAAGGAAAGAACAGATGCACTAACAAGATCACGAGCCAACAAGTCCATGCAAATGCAGAGCTTGATTTACTTGCATCAAACTCCTTTTCTGCTTCATGCCCCCTTCCCCGCGTTGCGTGACTCTCACCAAGCGCTCGGCATGGAGCCGGCCGCTGCGGCGCGCGCTGCGGCGACCAAGACCTGTCCAACTTCCAAAGGTTTTCCTAGAGTTGCAGAAGAAACATTGCCCTCCGCATATCCTCCAAGTGACCATTCATGCAACTTTCGGAACCGGAAACTTGTTCTAGAATGGCTATGCAGCACAGACTTCCTCCACCCGGCTGCCTCTGCCTTCTGCCCTGCTGCCACCTTCAACCAGGCCTTGCCTGCCAAGCAGAGAACATCTTCAATGAGAAAAGGTCCACAAGGCTTGGAGCATCACATGTCTATCCTCAAAGGCTCAAGGGGCATGAGCTTGTGGCACACTTAGCGGCCATGTGCAGTGGCAGCGCTGGTTGGAAAAAACGCCAGGCCTTTTGCGTGCAAGCCGAAGCCTTCGACCGCATCACCTCGGCAGAACGCGCAGACAGGCTCATATGGTCATGGGTCAAAAGCCAAATAGCCCGTACCCCCAGTGAAAATCCCAATCCAACCACTAAAATAAGTTCTAAAATGGGTGGTGAATTCACCTACCAACCAAAATGGGATCCCAAAACGGTTTTGACAACCACAGCCATATCTGATCCCGTCTCAGCAGGTCTCAGTCTCCTGCACACGGATTGCGGGTCTCCTTCTTGGGCATTCTGCAGCACATGCTGCATAAGCCGGATCTCCTGAAGCACCAATAGCCGTGGCTCGAAAACCGGAAGTCCAAAATGGCTTGCCCTGGTAAGTGGAAACCTGGTCCACAACCTGCGGTTTGCCCCTCCTGGTAAATTTGGAGCCACGTCCAAATATATATCTTCAATCAGGTGCTCATCTGCCCGCCCTCCGTGTTCAAACGCTTTTGGGGTGTAAAAAGTTGTTTAAGTGCCTTCCGCAATGGCGTTTGCAACAGGGCGCCAGCGGTCTCGGAATTATTGGCTCAGTATCAGCGGGGGTCGTGCCATGGGACCTGAAAAGTAAGGTCATATTGCCCAGTCGGTACACTTGCCTGTAAAACATCCAGCAGCGAAAGCACGAAAGCAGTAAAACAGATCCTCTTCAGTCACAAAATATGGCAACAGACTCAGCACCAGTCCTGCATCTCCTGTCCCAATTGTCAACCATTTTCGCAAGAGTCCGGGCGCCTCGATTCTCAACCATACCTGTCTGTGGCTCAAAAGAAAAAGGTACCCCCACAGTCCTTGACGTACGGCCGCCACGCCGACGCCGCGCTCAGCGGCACGAAAGCCTCTTCACGGCTTCGGGAGAAGGTCGAGCCCAACACGGCGGCGAGGCCTTGGCTGCGCGGAACGAAGCGCTCGAACGCGTCTGTCTGAGGATCCAAAGCCGATCGCCAGAATGAATCCAAGCCATCAGCAAATCTCTGCGGATCGGCCAGAACTGCGCATCGAGAAAAAAGGACGTCCCTTGCCCATCAAGAAGAATCCCTCTTCGCAACCTGACCAAGAGACCTGCCAAATGGCCATGCGTCAAAATCCCGTACCCCCAATGAACATCCCAATCCAACCACTAAAATAGGCTCTAAAAAGGGTGGTGAATTCACCCACCAACCAAAATGGGATCCCAAAACGGTTTTGACAACCGGCCAATACCAAGGACAAGCTTTGAGGTCCCCGGCTGCGGCTCACGCCCTTGCTGGCGGCCAGCGACTCCAGCATTTCTTGCCTCTCCGGACGGTCCCGCTGCTCGCACCTCAAGGCCGTTTCAATGGGAACCCCATGGCCTGAAACCCCCAGGGCTGATCACCATCCCCACCAGGAGAAGCAAAGGGGACTTCTGACCATGGCGAAAGCGAAACACCTGGCGGGTCCCAGAACAGTAACGCTGGTCAGATGCCTTGCCCACCAGGAGAAAAGTTGAACGTCAGACACATAGCGGGAATTGCGGCGGTCTAAATGATCAAGGACCAAAGAAGCCCTTGGCGAAATGCTGTTCTTGCTCAGCACCACGCCCCAGCTGTACCCTATTGTGAAACCAGGATCCTGCTTCAACCCATTTGAGCATGCCGGACTCCTTTCTTAGCACTACAGTGATACTTGTATTCAAGTATTGCCTGAGAAAGTAAAGAAAGCTCCTCTCAGGATCACTGCAAAATCCCTCTTCCGGGTTCAAAGACTCGTCTTGCTCAGACAGTCGCCATGCCCAGAGCTTTGCAGCTGCTGAGCCACTGGCAGCATCACAAGCTGGCTGTAGCTCTGCACATCCTTGGCCTGCGACAATTGTGACAAGTGAGCTGGGTGTTCGTGTGCCTATCCCTCTCAATCCAGTTTTGTGTCGCAATTCTTGTCACGAATTCGAGTGTGTAGGCGTGCCCCAAGGGGCAAGAATCAACTAACTAAGATCATGGCACTTGCGCCATTGTGCGCGTCTGTGAAAAGAGCCACTTTTGGGCAAAAAATTACGGCCCACCCCTCCAGCAAGTGCGTGTGTGAGCGTCTGTCAAGACGCGTGCCAAAAAATCTCTCGGCTGCTGACGTGGTCCGGCAGCTGCCCAAAGAGCTCCAAGGCCCTCTGCCATTGCTTCGCGTCCTGCAGACCACGCCTTCCAAGCGAAAACAGAGGGTCGAACTGGGAACTTCTTCCTTCCAGAATTTGGATGTGAGCTCCAAGTTCATGCGAGTAGAGACTATTTTGGGTGGGCAAAACATGCCTTGCACAGCCTTCGCGGACTGCCTACGCGATCGTCTTCCCCACCAGCATTCACTACACACAGTGCCTCCGTGGAGAATACTAAGCGAATACTAAGCACAACAAACTCTGCTCGTGTTGTTTGACAAAGGGTGGCGCCACTGCTCGTCTTTTGGAAACATGGAGCCCAGAGCCCCTGAAATGCGTTCTCTCTGGCACACTCTCTTCCCAAAACAAGCGCATCCGGAGCTATCATGCAAACGGAACCCAGGAAAAATCCACATCTTTTTTCCCCACCAAGCCGACCTGGACCAGTGGTGTCACTTCCCCCCATCCCCTCGCCCCATCGGATTCCCCATCGGATTCCCATCTCCAGCAGCACCGAGAGCACCGGGGCCGCGCTGGCGGCGCTGGGCTCCAGGCGCCTGGAGAGAAGCCGCTTGGGCGGTACCCCTTGGGAAAAGTGACCGACATGTTTTGCTCGCCCAAATCATACATACCCCCCACACCTTGAGGATATTCTGCCTGACGCAGCGCCGGTATCCGCATTGTTTGACTCAAAACCAAGCAGATGGCCTGAAACCCTTGGGCTTCAGCACACTATCAGGGATTCGCAAGCTTTTGGAGGGTACCCTTGTAAGATTGTTTTTGTTTCTTCCTTTTTTTTCCGGGAAGCCAAAGGGAAAACGGGAAACTCCATTTTGGAGGGGTCCAAACCCAAAAAGCAAAAAAGACACACCCAAGTAAGTGAGAATCCGAAGATCCGATGGCTTCCTTCGATGGCTTTGTGGTTCAGCGACATCAGGTTTCTAGGGGTACCTTCCAATTCCATTCTTTCCAGGGATCCTTCTTTTCAGGAAACCATCAAACACCCAGGGAAACAGCTGGTTTTCGAAAAGAACGATGGCACTTGAAAGAGATGAGATGGAGATCCCTCGATTGACGGGCGATCCTTTGGCTCACTGAGACCTAGTACACCAGCAAAATGGGCGGGTCACTCAGTGGGTTGTGTGAAAGGGAAGCACTGGCTGAAAAAACGGGTGACCACAGGCTTGCCCCGCGAAGCAGCCTGATGGGCATCTCCAGAAGCAGACTCGTTGCCACCTGGAAGCTTCAGGATAAGCAGTGCTCGCAACCAACGCAAGCATAGGGAGTCGGCAAATCAGTCGCAGGACAAACCATTCATTTAGCTCGCTACCAAGACTTGTTCGGGCGAAAAGCGCCGCCTTGCCTTCCACTGCATGCCCAGAGCACTTGCCGTGATCACAGAGCCACAGAAGCGCTCATCCGGCTGCAGGCTGGCATCTTGCCTCGGTCCCGCAACAACTCTGAATTTGGCCAACCACCAACGGCCCTGGCTAATACCTTGCAAATCTAAATATTTGGCAGTTCCGTACATCGTGACAATGCTGAGCATGATTCATTCCAGCTACAAGTCTGTTTGTTGATGCTTCGAGCCACCAGATTGCCTCGTAGTTTCAAGCAAAAGTTGAAAACATACTTCTCAGGCGGTGTCTATGATTCATTTGATGCCTGGTATGGGAGGTGCGGACATGTAATGACCTGTAACGAGTTGTGCTGTCCTGTACTGCACTCTACTCTTCTGGGTGGCAGTGTGCATGTCCGTGTAAGGTAAGGTCACGCAGTGGACGCACTTCATATAATGAAATGCAAGGCTTTTTGGACTACGACAACAGAACGCAACACAATGCATGAATGCACGGCTGAAGGGCCTACCCGACGGGTCAATCAGGTCATCGGGCATTCAGGAGGTCGGCAAACAGGCGGTTCAGTGAAGAAGTCCGCAGAGCTGTCGCTGGCTTGCGCATCAAGTCTTGACACGGAGCTTGCTAGCCATGTCTGTGCGCGAACTCAAAATTGGGAAGCGGCACTGAGGAGGTACTTACATCCTCTAGAGTTCCTTTTCCAGAGATAGATGCAAATCCCTTGCAACGAGCAACATCCTGGCGACCCCGGTCACCGTGTCAACTTGTGTAAGGCACCTCCATGTTCCCCTCACAAGCTCAGTTGAAAACGGGGTACCAAGTCCAAAAAAAGACAAACCCCAATTGGCTTCCTTTGAGATCCCAAAGGGTTCCTGCTGAAAACGGTTCGGGAGTCAGGTAATCCAAATTCCCCAAGTCCTTGAAGATGGGACGGAGCCGAAGCAGATCCCAACGAGAGACGCCCAAATGGCCATGGGTCAAAATCCAAATAGCCCGGTTAGCCCCCAGTGAACATCCCAATCCCCCACTAAAATCAAGCCTAAAATGGGTGGTGAATTCACCAATCCCAACCAGAATGGGATCCCATTGGCTTGGACCCACAGCCAAATCTCCCCCCGCGCCGGAGAACTCCGAGCGGCAGCTCGGCGAAGAGCGCCAGCGCCAATCGCCACTGGCTGCGGCAGGCCTCAGCGGACGTCACTCGAAAACCCCAGAGAAGCGAGAGGCAACTCGGCAAATACACACCGAAAACTGGGAAATATCCTGAAATGATTGTATTTCTTGGACGGATCCAATTCTCCTACACAAGACCATGCCCCTTCAAGTAATTCCACTCAGAAAATGAGACGCGTGCCTAAGCATGCCGGCTCCAGTGATTCCACAGCAACATGATGCACCGTCATGAGGGTAGGACTTTGGGCAATTACATTTTGATGGGGCTGGTGCATCTGAGCGAGCAGTGCCAGGAGACTGTTCTCACATAGGTGCAGGAGTTTTGAGCTTAGTAAGGAACCGATGCTTGCAGAGTGCACACACTCGACTTAATTGACGTGGTGCTGAGACTGCGCAAGTTTCTCAGACAGCTAGTCGATGACATCAAACTGTCACAATGGCATTGAAGCTCAGGCTGATTGGCTGGCTGCAGACTACATACATCGGGATGATTTAGGGGCGCGGAGCCCTATTCCCATATTACCACTCCGAGGCAACGCAGGTTATTGTCCATCCACCAAACCTAGATACAATGATCTGTCACGTCTAGTCACCCGGCTCTTGGGAAACCAAGGAGATTTTGGTCAAGACCTTCGGGATACTGGAACCAATCCCATGAACACACCCAAAACCATTCTAAGGCGAAAACCAACCCGAAACCAACCTTTACCCAGACCTAAACTGGCCTTAACATCCCTAACCCACCCTCCGAAAACCCAACCACCCTAAACCCACCCTGAACCCACCCACCCTAAACCCACCCGAACCGACCTTGGCCAATTGCCACAGCCTGTGCGGGAAAAACCGTTGATGGCCGGTACCAGACAAGCAAGCAAGCAAGCAAACAAGCGAGCGAGCGAGCCAGCAAGCAAGCACCCAACCACCCAACCACCCAACCAAGCAACCACCCAGCCAAACTGGGAAAATCAGAGACTAATCTCTGCTAATCAACCAAGGCAGCAAATGCACCTTTGTCATCTTGAGCCTTGAGCCATGCAATGGTAATCAGTATGAATTACATCCAAGTGGGAATGCATGGTGTACTTTCGCACGCCCCCTTGGATTAATGGAAAATGTGGAATTAATCCACACTCCACTAGCACAAATGCATTCCAAAGAATGCCAAGCTGCCTTGAAATCTTTTCTCTCTGCAAAATGTCTATGCAAAACGGGTGACCTAATCATCACCAAAAGAATTGCAATGCTGGGAAATGCACAAGGACAAGTGGTTGAATGTATTGTGGACTCGAATCACAGACAGAATGTGTTCCAAGAGTATCGCCTCCAGAATCACCAGAAAACGTCCTCTCAATGTATTGGTGTCATAGATGAATCCAAACCAAAAGTAAACTGTCATCTACAGTAATGTTGTAACTGTACCTCCACACAAATGCCGAAAACTGAATCACAAATGAAGTGGCAAATCGAACCAGGCAAAATCGCGATATCCAATGAACATAGAATCTCAATGCAAATCCAGTGTGGAATAAATGCATCCAAATCGGTGCCTGGCCAGAATCGAAATCCCAGCTCCACCAATGCTGAATCACAGCTTCGCTCTGTAATATGAATCTACCAGTGACTTGGGAATCTCCTGGTAGTCGCCCATGAATTTGTCCAATGAAGTCTTCCAGGTCTTGGGAATGAACATGTGGTAATCCCGGTACCAATGGGAATTGCTTTGCTGCAATGAATTGGCAGCGAGCATCAATTCCCCAATCTGGGCCTTGATATTGAATCCGGCCATGGAGCAAATCTCCTGCATCGCCAAGCTGTCTCTTGAATCCCAAATGTAATCCTTGAAGTGAATGATGGGGTCAATGTGAGACCTCACAAATACGTGAGTAAATGAATGCCTCATGAAATCAAGAAATCGCTGCGAATGTGGCCTGAATCCAATCACCACTGGTGTGTCCGCCAAATACTGAATCAATCTGTTCTTTGCATCACCCTCTGGTGCAAATGATCGCTCATAGCTGAATGAATACAGAAAGAATAGCAAAGACGAACGCGGGCTCAAATGGAATCCAGTAAACTGACTGTTCCAGAAACAATGTGAAGCAAGAATTGCAAATGTTCCCTTCATAGCCTCAGGAATGTTACTGGCACGGCCCTCAAAAATCCTCTTCAAATGGTTCCACATTGCTGAAGGCATGGTGAAATACAGCATGAATGGCAACATGCAAAAGTTCAAATGTTGCAAATTCCAATTGGGGTTGAATGGAATCAATCTCTCCACCCTTGGTGGGAATTGTAGCCACAAATGCCTCTCAAATGGAGTATAGGACATACTCCCAGCCGCAATGTTTGGAATGATCCTGATCAGAATCTGCGCACTCCAGGCATCGTCCGCGAATCGGTTCATGAAAATAAAATCCTGGAACCCAAATTGTTCCTGTTGCTGGCCGCTGAATAGAATCTGCCACAACATCGTGGCCGTAATGAATGCCTTGTATTCCGAAAAATTCGTGCGCTCCATCTTCAAATCTCTTGCGAGAATCCGGTGGAAATACTGTCGCGTCAAATTCCGGAATGCGGGCTGTCCATCGCATCGGTCGAAGTAAATGCACACCGAAATGTCAGTCAGAATGTTGAGCAAAACAAATGTTGCAGTCATGCATGAAATGGCTTCGAATTCACTCGTGGCAAAATGTCTTGACTACTGACTAAGTGAAACAGAATCATGTTGACTATCTACTACCTGAAGGGCAAATCCCTAATGTGATGTTATGCCTCTGCAAAATTGCCTTGGCAACATACTTGGTTAAAATGTCAGATGGGTTGAGGGTTCCCGGAATCTTCTTAATCACCAGGGTCCCAGAGGAAACCAGCTCCTGGACAAACAGAAATCGCAATTGGACATGTTTGGTTTTCCGGGATGCCCCAAATCTGACAGCCATGCTCTTGCCTGCAGTTGAATCGGTAAACAGAATGATGTTCACCTTGGGAGCCACAAGGGTTTCCAGAATCAAAGATTTAATGAATAGGGCCTCGGCCGCACCACTTCCAATAGCATAAAGTTCGGCTTCCCCACTTGACAAGGCAATGGTGGCCTGTGTTCTGCTGTGTGCTGAAATGTTGATGCCGAGAATGTTCAATGCTACTCCTGATGTGGACCTCCTGGAATCGGTGCAACCTGCCCAATCGCTGTCCACATAGACCTTTATGTCCAATGATTTCACCTGTCTTCCAATCCGGAAATCAGGTCTCATAACATGGACATAATCCTTGGTTCCACTCAGGTACCTCAACAATGTCTTCAACTTAATCTTGTGCACCTCAGTGGGAGCAACCAATCCTCGTGACAACTCCTTAACAGCATACATGATGTCAACACGCAATGCTGCAAGCCACAACAATTGTCCAACCAATCTCCTATACAATTTATGCTCTTGCGAATTCAACAATTCGTTGTCAAGCAACTTCCGCAATGAATCTCCTCCTGGCGTCTGAGCCGGCTTGCTCTTGGTCATGCCATAGGAATCCAGCATGCGGTCAATGTAATCAGGAGACATGAACAATTCCATGGAATCTGATGTTCGGCGAATCTGACGTCCCAAGAAGGAGACTGTCTTACCTTCACTCAATTCACCTGTCTGCCGAATCAGAAGCACCTTCTTCAAATCTTGCATCACCTCATCAATGTCACGTCGCTCACCTACAAACATCAAATCATCGACATAGACCAATGCCCACAATTTCTTGGTCTTGTGTCGGTACAAATTCGGATCTGACTTCAAACGCTCAAATCCCGCGTCAAGCATGGTCTTGGCTAAATGCTGTTGCCATGCCTTTGGCGAACCTTTCAGGCCATACAATGCCTTCTTCAATCGCCAAAGTACGCCCCCTTGAGGGTAGTACTCCTTTGGAGGAATGACAAAAATCTTCTGCCACAACGTCGCATGCAAGAATGCGGTGGACACGTCTGCAATCACAACATCCAAATTCATGGCAATGGACAACGCAATCAACAACTTCAATGTGGACAAGCTTGGGGTAGAAGCGAATGTGTCATCCTTATCTTCAATGTATTGGTCAAAGCCACGGGCTACCAATCTACACTTCACTTCTGCTCCTTTCCAAGACTTAACCCACTTCATTGAAATTGCTGAATCAACTTCTTCCTGCGTCAAATCCTCGGTTTTCTCTTCTACATACGAATCAAAGTCCTTCATGGAATTCATTTCCTTGTTCATTCCTGCCTCTTCCAAATCTCTGGGGAATTCAGACTCTCCCCACAGAATCGGATTGGCAAATTTCTTCATGTTCCCTAATTCTTCTTCATCCTGGTTTACATGAATGGGCAAGTCCAATGACTCACGCGTGGTGACTGTGGCAATCCTACAATCTTCAACCAATGTGCAACCAAACTCGCATGGCAGAATGGCAGAAATGTAGCTTACAGTAGAATCCGCTTCAGGAATCTCTGCCTGCTCACTGGTTCTCTTAATGCCTCTTGCCTCTGCCAATCTGCGCCTATTGGTTGGAGACTCCGAATGCTCTCCAGGTTCCCTGTCAATGTCCTCATGACCTCGCGTCAATCCTTGGGACAACTGGGCTGACGAATCCTCACCAGTTCCATCGTGATCTGGCTCCTCTGTTTGCTCGTCAGTTGGTGGAATCCCCAAAGGTGGCTGGGGTTCACCTTTCTGGAGCACAGCAGAATCACCCGGAAGGATGAACGAATCCGTTTCGACCTTGGATCCTTTTGGATCCCATGGCAATGCACGCAACCCTTGCATCAAATCTCGCTTGACTTGTGATCCCGGCTGAAGTCTCCGAATGCCTCGCACCTTGTACACAGCATTGGAATCCGCCACAAAATGCTGGTCGGATGTGGTGTCACGTCCAAGCCAAATGCCTGAATGCCACGATGGCTCAGACTTAGGCGCAGGCAATCGGAACTGCACAGACTCGGCAATTCGACACAATGCACCTCCATACTTCTTTCCCCATCGTCGTTCAAATGGAGTGAATCCATCAGACCGATGAAGAAACCTGTTTAGAAGCCACATGGAGTGCTTAACAATCCAAGGAAACAATGGCGAATGCACGCTAACCGACATGCCATACCTATGTTGAATGTCAAGCTTCAAAGCACGAATCTGAGCATACAATGTTGCTTGCATGTTGGAAATGGATCCCTGAGCTTGCTTCCAGCCAGTGGGAGCTTCACGGTATGACAATCCACCAATGTCACCCGTGACTGCCTCGACCAAGGCTTTTAATGAAGCTTCAGGGTCGCACTGAACAATCCCAAATGTCCTTCCAATCTCCAACACGAATTTCCTCAACTCTGCTTGCGCATACACAATGCGTCCTTTGGACGGAACAACGCACGCCAATCCCATTCCACTCAGTACATCAGTGGCCGTGAGCAATGTCACCTGTGTGTCACTTTGTGAATCACCCATAAAGGCGTAATCCACCTGAATCACAGGTTGCCGCACCGAAATGGCACGACTCTGGTTTTGCTTGCTCTTCGACCTGACGCAAATCTCACACCATGATCTGAATGGCAGATGAGTCAACTCATGTTCACGAATCTCATCGTCCGTCGGCTGTTTGGGAACGTACAATCCCTTTGGCCGTTGAGCCGACATTTCCGGAATGTCCGGGTTGCTCTCTTCCAAGAATTGCTGAGACTGCCGACGAAAAATCGTCGCGCCTTTGAATGGCTCAGGAAATTCCGTAGCAGCAGCCTCTGGGTCAGCCCAGTGGTCGTGAATCCACTGGAGTCTCCCGTTGAGGAACACAGCCAATGTGTGCCTCTCGTTCCCCAGCAATTCCTTGGAGGGAGCGGCCGAATCGGTCTCATCTGGCACATACAGACAATTCCTCCACTCATGGTGTATCCTAATGTCAAACTTGGGTGTGAGGTACCATTCATCATGTCCGAATGGTCCTCCTGTCTCCGGGTCACTCATGCACAATCGCCGTTCCACAATTTCCTTTGCTTCTTCCAATTCTCCCGTCGTCAGCTCCTTCACTGACCGGGAATAATCATCCTGGCCAATGTCAGCAGACGGTTGCGCTTTCAAATGAGGTTTCTTTGCTGGCACTGACGCTTCCTGAATGGGAGGTCTTGCAATTGTGGATTGCTTCCCCGTCAATCGTCTTGCCGTCGGCAAGGATTGCAACGGGAATTCTGTCCTTCCCATCCAGTACTGATCCAACGCCCGTTGCGGAGAATCTATCGTCCGCCAATTGTCGGCGATGGTCTCCTCACGTCCATCTTCGAATCGGACGTAAGTTGTGCGTCTGGACGCCACATCTTCCACAGGAATGGGCCTGTCCTTGGTGCCACCTGGCGTGAATAACGCACGCCTTGCGCGCTTGTGATGTCGAATCAGCACAGCGCGTTGCGGATCAAGTTCCCAACTGTCGTTGTGGTAAATGGTGGGCTTAAATGTGGGTGCTATGGTCCCTGAAGAATCTGAACCAAACTTGGAATGAAACTCTTGACACACTTCTTCAAATCGGGGTTTGTCAAATGGAAGAATGTTCGGACCTAGGAAAAGCAGTGAGCCTTTTCGGTGAATACTCACTACCTTACCATTGGGCATAAACAATCCCAATGAGTCTGGTCCATCCAATGCTACGCGGAATCCCTGCAGCAGCAATCGTGCAACCGACACAATCGGATAAGGCACGTCACAAACATAAAAATTCATGAAGCAATCTTGTCCATCCAAGTTCAAGCCAACCAATCTTCTCCCATACATGTTCAATGGCTGTCCTGTGACACTCTTCAATGGTGGGCCATTTCCATTTAATGGAAGCAATGGCCATTGTTCACCAAAGTCTGGCGGACAGCAATGGGCAGATGCTCCTGAATCAAATAGAATCCACGGGGTGGAATCCTCGACTGCTGAAATCAACTGTTCATGCAAGAATGTGTCAACAAACTTCGAATTCAAGTGATCCAAGCCGCAGTCCTTCAAGGTGGTCACGAAATGAAAAGAATCCTTCACTGGGGTTGGTTCATCATACCAATCTAACAAGTCTTGTCCGGGAACAGGGGCAATCAATCCGGCACTCAAACATGGCATGCTATCCAATCCAGTGTCCAAGCAATACATCGACTTAAACAATCTTTCATGCTCTCCAAATGTCATCCAACTTTCACCTTCACCCTCAGACGGACTGCCACGAGTGGCAGGAATCTGAAAGGATGATCCTGAGGTGACCGAATTCATGACAAGTGCAGCAATCAAAAATGATGAGGCCTTTGGCTTGGCCTTTGGCCGAATGGGAGTTGAGCCAATGTTTGGACTCAATCCCGGCGGCACCTGTGTCACTGCTCCAATGGTTCCTTGCTGTGAATCTCCTGCTGGGGGTGGTCCTGCCGATGAAAACGCGGCAGAATCGCATCCAGCAGGAGGCTCTGG